TTGAACTGCTGTATAAAATCAATATCACATTTGTAATCATGCTGCATTTTGGTGGAAAAAAATTTTCAGTCTTCGCATGATACTGATTAACTATATGAAAATATAAATTTCTGTCCCCATATATTGAATTTTATGATCATCATCATTCTAAACACATTTTAATAAACTGAATCATGCAGTGAACTGAATCATGTAGCTCTCATGAGTCATGGATGTTAGCAAGACAAATTAACTATAATTGCCTTTTGTCTTTTGGGTAATTAGCTCTAAATTCGAGGCACAGGTAGCGTTTAGTCTTTTGTTCATCACCACTCACTTCCACACCAAGACAAACACAACTGGAAAGGGAGGGAGGGCTTTACTTCTGCGCCTCACTGCCTGATGTGCTGCGCCTGCACAGAGGGGAGTTGGAACTCGACAGTCTCAACATTTCCCGACCCTACCGGTGTCATGAAACAGAAATACAAGTTCCAATTGCGAGTGAAAATGTAGTTTTTTAGACAACTCCAACTACATCAATAGTAGAAGTGCAGGTAACCCGGCAGTGCAGAGTCTCAGCTCAGGCAGCGAATAATCCAAGCAGTCCAAACCCTCCAGGGAACAGATAACAGACGGGAATCAACTCAGGAACTAGAAGGTCTGGCAGAGAACCAGACAAGACATAAGCAACAACGATCTGACAACACTCCACAGAAACGCCAGCCAGATATAGGCAGTGCAGATGAGCTACACCTGTGACCGCTCTGATCAGCTCGTCAGGTGTGTGGTAACTAGGCAACACTGACGAGCACAAGGAGCGGATAACACCCACACACACACAGAAATGAGCACACAGACCCATGAACTGTGACAGTAACCCCTCCCCTAAGAGCACCTCCTGGCACTCCTAGAGTAACTTACCTGACGATTGTAATCATCGATAAGAGAGTGATCCAATATGTCTCTTGCAGGCACCCAACTCCTCTCATCTGGACCGTAACCCTCCCAGTACACCAAGTACTGGAATCCGCGTCCCCTCCGCCTAGAGTCCAGAATACGATTCACCGAATAAACAGGTTCCCCATCTACGAGTCGTGGCGGTGGGGGAACTGGGATTTGCGGATCAATGGCAGCATGAAAAACAGAATGAATGAAACGAACCTTCTAACCAATGACGCCATTCCTCCAAGGTAAGCTTGACTGTCAGCAGTTCTCTATTACCAATATAATAGTTGCATTCAGTGGGAGACAAACGGTGAGAAAAATACACACAAGGATACATCTTACCGTCCGAGGAAGAACGCTGGGATAGGATGGCACCAACCCCCACCTCTGATGCGTCAACCTCCACCACAAACTGCCGGGAGGGATCAGGGGCGATAAGGATGGGAGCTGAAACAAAACAGCTCTTCAGTTTGGCAAACGCAGCTTCAGCTGCGCTGTACCACCTGAATGGAGTTTTGGTGGAGGTTAAGGCAGTCAAAGGGGCAGCTAGCTGGATGAAATTGCAAATAAAACGCCAGTAAAAATTGGCAAAGCCCAGAAACCTCTGCAGGGCCTTGCGGGAATCTGGAGTCGGCCAATCAACCACAGCCCGAATCTTGTCCGGATCCATGCGCATCCCCTCGACTGACACGATGTAACCCAAAAAGGGAACAGACTGTGCATGGAAAGCGCATTTCTCTGCCTTGACAAAGACCATTCTCTAATGGACTCTGAAGCACTCACCTGACGTGCTGAACATGTTCCTGGAGAGAGTGAGAAAATATCAGTATGTCATCCAGGTAGACATAAATGAACTGATCTAGCATATCTCTGAACACATCATTGACGAGTGCCTGGAAGACTGCGGGGGGGAAGCCCAGAAGGAAAAACACAATATTCAAAGTGCCCCCTGGGGGTACTAAAAGCAGTCTTCCATTCATAACCCTCCCTTATGCAAACCAAATGATAAGCCTTGCGGAGGTCCAATTTCATGAAAAAGGACACCCCCTGCTGACGTTCAAAGGCAGAAGACATCAACCGCAAAGGATGTCTTCACCGTGATGTTGTTCAGCCCTCGATAGTTGATACAGGGATGAAGAGACCAGACTCTCTTTTTCACGAAAAACCCCCCCG